TGCCAAGCGACGAAAACCCAACCCCGATGGCAAACACCGAGGGGGGGAACACGGGGGGGGCGGCTTGTTTTATAACGTCGTTGCCAAGCGACGAAAACCCAACCCCGATGGCAAACACCGGGGGGGGGGGGGGGGCATTTAAGCCGATTAGATTTCGGTGTTGTATCAATCTGGGGTGCTTACGTATACGTCTTGTGTGCTATCTTTCGTATCAGAGAGACCGTGTAGGTGGCTTGCTTTCGGTGGCGTTTGTTGCCTTTCCTACGCTTCGTGTGGGATTTGAGCCGGTCTGTATTTTTTCTTGCGTGGTTCTGCATTCGTTCGAAACTGCGACTCCCGCGTGAATGGAACTCCAGCTCGCGGAACGATTAATTTTTGAAGCGTTCGCCTGGCAACAGCACGCTTCGCTGGGTGCGTGAGGAGGCTCTTTAGCTGCTGCTGCTGCTGCTGTTGCTCCCGATTGTAGTGGTGCCAGTGCTACGGCACGGTACCACCGCTCCCTCACCGTCGATGTACACCACCCCGTCGTCTTTTGTTGTTGATGGATCGTCCACACTGCATGCTGTGGAAAATCGGCTTTTAGCCATTTTCTTTGAACGCGGGGGGGGCCGGCTCGCATCCTGCGGCATCAGCATCTCATGGTGATGGGGCTTCCTCGAGCAGCGGCAGCAGCAGCAATGCTGCCGCCGCTTCCGCCGCCACCACGCACATGCCAAACGACTGCAGCTGCGAGGAGCTGTGCAACCCCGTCCGCCAAGTGTTCCGCCGCTAGTACCCAGCTGTACTCGTACACCCCCGGCACAGCCGCATCGGCGGCGGTGTACCTCAACGGCCTCACCCAAGCGCAAGTTCAGCACGTGGAGGACATGTAAGCCGGTTGGGGGTGTACAGCAGCCAGTGGGAGTCCCCGAATATATGCCGGCTCTGAATACAGCGTTCGCCCTGTATTTGGCAGGTGAACTTGGCTGGCGCAGACGGAATCATCAGGTTGTTCTACACATAAAGAACATGGCGGCTGCCCCATACATGGCAGTCAATATCAGCTGCCCCAATCACTGCCTTATTTGGGGACCGCCAAACTGCGTGGTCCGGAGGAAATAACTCGGCTCAGGAGTGAGCGCCGCCCTGTTTTTTTTTGTTTTTTTCTACACGGAAGTGCTGGTAAAACGTCAAAATCGTGCCAAGTCCGTCGGATATTTTTACCCTCTCACAGAGAGGAAGGTTGATGGCGTGTCTGCAAGATGGAGCACTATCGTAGGTGACATGATACGTATCGTACACCATGGGTTGGTTGTCATGACTCCGTCGCACCACGACGAGATAATGTATAACTCCAACGGTTTGTTTTCACCTTTGAAAATCAGTGTGGAGGAAGTGTAATAATGTCCTGCGTCCTCCACGGGAACCATTTTTATTGACACCATTCCACCCTTTTGGCGAACCTTAATTAACTCAACGTCTTGAGGGGGCGCGTGTGTGTGGTGCTGGTGCTGGTGCTCCTCGTAACCCGCATAGATCTGACACGAACTATCTAGATTTATTGCCTTGTAGCAGTCAACTATTAGTCGCTCCCTCCGCGCGACGGCACTGGCGCATGGCCTGTGCTGCCCCCCCCCCCCCCCCC